GAAAATTAGAAGGTTGTTGTTTAAGATTTTAATATAGCTCTATTACATGTAAAGGTCCTACTTCAATTAAATACTAACCCAAAAATCAAAAACCACTTGTTCTCTAGGTGTCTTTGGAGCCAAAGTAATAAACTCTCTTTCAGAATATATCAAGTTGGAAATTATCCAACTAATTTCAATTCTTTCAGTCAATAAGAAAATACAAGTAATCAATTATAATACTTCCACTCTTCTTTCCAACAAATATTTATTGAAAGCCTACAGTGTGCCAAGCACTTACTAGCTTGATAACTCAACATAGCTTACAACAGCCACAGAACCTTCATATAAAAATGATAGTATAATTAAATTTTCTTAGCCTTTTTGAACATAAAATTATGTTCAAGGACATATACCTCAATTACTTAAATATAATAAAATTTGATGTGGAGTATGTTAAAGTAAATGTAGGGAAAGAACCAGGGAAGCACTTAACATTCTTTTCCCTTATAATATTTATCATTATACTTGAAAATTTTTAATCTCTTAAGAAATGTACAGCTATTTACCCAACCCATCAAACTACTGAAAGCCATATAATGTAGCACAGTCTTAATGATAAGTTAAACACAAGAGGGCGCACAAGGCTGGGAAATTAATGAAACCAAATGCAAGTTGCATTTTACTAAATTTGCAGCTCTTAATGCATGGTCACATGGATTTATAAAGGATTCTTCATGCATGTACTCTGGGTTAATTGCACTGAAAATATTTCCCTTTCTCAGTACTTTCCAGAAACCAAATCACTGCTTCTCAGATAATACAAATTATTTATTCAAACTGACTTTCACCTAAATTTAATATTTTATCATTAAGAAAAATTATGACTTTTAATCAGAATTTTATGCCACCTTTTAATCTAACATCTCCTTGAAAAACTTCTGTTTAAATGCTAACCAACTTTTAGGAGCATTTGATATCTTATTCCTTAGCATATCTCATCAGTTTGGTTCAAATAAACTCTTATTAAAATTCTCCAAAAAATAAAATAAGTAAGTAAATGCTAGCCAACTTCTGAAATTTCTCTTTTCAAATATCATTAAAACATTCATTAAGTGATTATAATTACAATAAACTTACTTGCAGGAAATAGATCTCCAACTTTTTGAAAATGACAAATCTGTATTATAATATCAGCTATTTAATTCTCAAGCAGTAAATATTCTGTCTACAATTATCTATTCCAAGAATGGCAACCAATCCCAAATGGTAGGTTATGACTTCATTAGTTCACTTCCTCATGAAATAATAAACTACCTCAGGAGTTTATGTAGGTGAGACAATTGGATTAAGATTACAAAGCCTATAGGCAGAAGCAAAATCCAAAATAATTCCAGAGCATATTCTGCCTACCTCAAGATTCACAGCAGAATATAATCTACACACAAACACACACACAGTTCTAGGTATGTAGCGCTATTCAGCTTTATATATACATAGTCCTAATGCTGACTGTGACACATGAAATTACTCTGGATGTCAACAATGTCACACTGTATCTAACTTCTACAAAGAAGAGGCACATCACATGAGGACCTGGCATTGTAGACAAAAGCACAAAAATATTACTTATCCCTTATATATCCTATATAATTCCTATATAATAAAAGCCTAATATGCAAATTGTCCCCCCAGACGGTGGTTCGACTGGGAGTTGGACTGGAAGACCTGGAGTTAGACCACTCGCTATGACATGCGCTGACCACCAGGGGGCAGCACGGAACATGGCAGGCATCAGCAATGCGCTGCAACCTCACAGGCTACCTGGGGGTGGGGGTGATGGGTACAGAGGTGCGGTATGAATGCAGGGTGTCCCCTGCTCACTCTCACTCCCCCTGCTATTCTCCCCCGGAATGCCAGGGCTTGCACACTGGAGAAGCCCCCGCACTCAGGTGCCAGGTGCCTGCGAGGAGCCCGCCCGGCTTCCCGCTACGTGGCCCAGGTGCCCACGCTGCGCCCCGGCTCACAGTGTCCTGCCACGCTCACTGCATCTCCGCATGGGGACTCGAGCAACGTGACTCAGGCCAAGGGGTTGCGCAGGGGCCCGGGAGCCCAGGTGCTGCCCAGGGCCCAGAGGTCAGCTGGTACCTGCCCTTCCATGCCAGACGCTTGCACTTCAAACACCAGCCAGACATAGGAACCACACCCCCAGGCCCCTAGTTATTATGATACAAGAACAAAAGAGAGATGAACCGACTGTTAGGATCAAGAGAGTCAAGCAAAAAGTCCGTATTAGTAGCAGTGAGCTACAGGTTAGGGGGTATGGATAAAGACTGACAGTCCAGAACAAAAGATAAGGGATATATTATTTTAGTGATAAAAACTCAAAGCCCAAACTAAGGAACTAACAATCAAGAACCCAAGAGTGGTAAAAATCCAGTCAATTAAATAAGTTATTTGTAATGTGAGCAGGTGGTATTGACCATATACTACAATCTACCTAGCTGAACAGACTCCTAATATACTTCTTGCCAAGTACTTCTGGACCAGAAAGGGGAAAGTGCCTATAAAGGATATCACAGGGACAATCCTTGAAATATGAATAGGATCGTCAATTAAATAGCAGTATCGTATCAATGCTAATGTCTTAAATTTAATGGTTATACTGTGGATATATATCAGAGTATTCTCAATACATACTGAAGGATTTATGGGTGATGGGACATCATGTCTGCACTTTCTCTCAAATGATTCCAAAAATAACAATTTATTTAATGTGGAGTACATTATAAGCCAAATATGGTAAAATATTCACTATTGGAGGCATCTAGATGTAGGCTATTCAGGAGTCCTTTGAAATAATCTCACAACTTTTCTATATGTTTCACATTATCTCAAAATTAAAAATAGACCAGCCGGCATAGCTCAGTGGTTGAGGGCTCGATCCCAGTGAGGGGCGTGCAGGTGGCAGCCAATCAATGATTCTCTCTCATCACTGATGTTTCTATCTCTCCTCTCCCTTCTTCTTTGAAATCAATAAAAATATATATTTAAAAAAATTTTAAATAGCCCTGGCTGGGTGGCTCAGTTGGTTGGAGCATCCTCCTGTACACCAAAAGGTTGTGAGTTTGATTTCTGATCAGGGTACATACCTAAGTTGTGGGTTTGATCCTCAGTCAGGGCTCATACAGGAGGCAACGGATTAATGTTTCTCTCTCACATCAATGTTTCGCTCTCTCTCTCCTCCCCCTTCTTCTCTCTTTAAAATCAATAAAAAGAAGAATGTTCCAATTTTGGTAGTAGTAATACTTCAACTTCCAAAAAGATTAATTTTATTTAGGTATACTTGTCATATTAAATAAGATGTTCCTATCTTCCTCTCCTTCTCCCTTCCTCTCTGAAATCAATAAAAATATATTTTTTAAAATAATAAATTCTCAATTTTTCTAAGTTTAAATCAATGCACTAAATAGTTTAATATTTTTGCATTCCTTATACATTTATAATCTGCAGTTAGAATGTTTTTAATGTTTTGACAAAAACTTTTAAAAGTCACAGAACAATCAAAACTTTTCCAAAGATCACACTGGAAGATTTTTTTCAGCTTGCAGCCATTTCTAATTGTACTGTAATACCATGCAAAGTAAGGACTGCCTTTACATGCTATTCCCATTATACTATATCTCACTAAACATACGAAAGGAGGCTTTAATGTGGGATATTTGAGAGAAATGCTAGATTCCTTCCAGAAATTAAAAAGTAGACTGCAACTGTTGAGGAATTCAGCTAACAATAAACAAGAACGTCTAAACCATCAGGGTGATATGTTTATGGTCTGTGAAATCTGCATCCTTAGAAGACTTCAAGAAGAAAATGCAATTACATCTCCTAATTTTCTCATTGATTTTGACCAGGGGTGGGGAACGTCTGGCCCACGGGCCATATAAAGCCCATGAAATCCTTTGGTCTGGCCCTGCCAAGGCATTAGAGCTGAGTTAATTAAATATTTGACCAAATACAGCAGGCTAATTTTTAAGTTGATAAATTTGTATGGCCCTCAATTGGTGTTATAAATATCCAAATGACCCCGGGCAGAAAAAAGGTTCCCCACATGATTTAGACGCTGATTTTTTTTTTTTTTAAGTGGCCAGCAATTGTAGGACTATAAAATAAGTAGAAGACAAACTTTCTTTTTTTATTTCCATGGTATAGTACCATTTTTTTAAATTCTTTATTGTTGAAAGTATCACACCATTGACTTCTCCCAGCCCGCTCCCAACCCTCCAGCACAGACCTTCATAGAAGACAAACTTTCAAGGAATTTTCAAGCTAGTTTAAGACTCAGATATATTCAAGTGACATGTTTACATAACAATATAAATAATTAAGTGAAATTAGCAATAGACAAATGTTTTATTATATTCATAGCTCAACGTTCCAGGAAAGCTTCCAGGAAAAGGTTAAGGGTTGACCCTGGCTGATGTTTAACAGTGGTTAGAGCTTTGGCCCATGCAACCAAGGGTCTTGGATTTGATTCCCAGACAAGGGCATATAGCTAGGTTGCAGGCTCAGGAGACAGCCAATCAATGTATGTGTCTCTCTCATCTATCTCTCTCTCTCTCTCTCTCTCTCTCCCTCTCCCCTCCCCCTCTCCCCCTCTCTCCCTCTCTCTCTGTCTCTCTCTCTCCCCCTCCCTCCCTCCCTTCCATTCTTCTCTAAAAAAAAAGAAAATCAATGGAAAAAATATCCTCCCGGGGGGGGGGGGGGGGGGGTACGTGGAGTTGAACTGGACCTACTGAGCCCAATAATACTGGGAGCAAAGGAGAAAATTCCAATCACAGAGGTTGGCATAAATAAGAAGGAAGACGAAAAAGGAAAAGACTAGACCAACAAAATCAGGTTTTTCAGCAGAGCAGCAAGATATAAAGGGGGAAATGTAACCAATTGTGCACTCTTGAATATCAGGCCAATTGGCAACATGGAACAACAGAAGATTCTATGAAAGTAAATAAAGTTTCTACCTTAGGCCATTTGGGATTGAGAAGCCGAGCTTTGATTGCATCGTCCAGGGCCTTGTCATACTGCTGGATTTTCATATATGCTGCAGATCTATTGCTGTATAAGATGCAATTCTGAGGGTCAACAGCCAGAGCTTCATTGTATAAAACAATAGCTGTGTGGAAATCTCCATCATGACAGGCCTGGTTACTCTGACGAACTTTCTCAACAAATTCAGCTTTGCTCAGCACTGGACCATCAGGACTTCTCTGGCCAATAGTCTTAGCACCAAAGAGAGGAATCTACAAACAAAGAAACTTTGTGAGACAAAGCTCTGATAATCCGGAGGGGTTCCTTGTCTGAACAACATGAGAACATGAACGTTCTCCATGGTCTAATCCAGGGGTGGGCAAACTTTTTGACTCGAGGGCCACAATGGGTTCTTAAACTGGACCGGAGGGCCGGAACAAAAGCATGGATGGAGTGTTTGTGTGAACTAATATAAATTCAAAGTAAACATCATTACATAAAAGGGCACGGTCTTTTTTTTTTTTTTTTTTTTTAGTTTTATGCATTTCAAACTGCCGGATCCAGCCCGGGGGGCCGTAGTTTGCCCACGGCTGGTCTAATCTATAAGATAGTTAACTTTGTGCCCTGAAAGACAATAAGCTTTCCAAGAAGCAGTCAACATAATGCCTTCTGTAGCATCCCTTTCAACATATATATATGTGTGTGTGTACATATGCATATAGTATACACGTATATGCATATATTTATAAACTTACATATTTATACTTACATGTGTATATATTTTTTGATAGAATGAATGAGTGCAAGAGTGCTCAAGCTTTTCCTTGGCAATTTAAAGTTATACTAAAGAGCCCAAGCTGGTGTTGCTCGAAGGTTAAAGCATTAGCCAGAGCACCAAAAGGGGTCACATGACGGGTTCCATTCCAGGTAAAGGGCACATACCTGGATTACAGGTTTGATCTTTGGCCAGTTGGGCATGTGTGAAAGGCAACCAATCAATGTCTCTCTCTCTCACATCAGTTTCTCTCTCTCTCTCTCTCTCTCTCCCCCACTCCCTCCCTAAAAGGCAATGGAAAAAAATATACTCAGGTGAGGATTAACATACATACATACATAAAGTCATACTAAGGGAAAGATAAAAATATAAACCTACCCCTAGCTGGTTTGGCTCAGTGGAGAGAGCATCGGCCTGTGGACTAAAGGGTCCCGGATTCAATTCCAGTCAAGGGCACATGCCCAGGTTGTGGGCTCAACCCCCAGAAGGGGGGATGCATGAGGCAGCCAGTCAATGATTCTCTCTCATCATTGATGTTTCCATCTCTTTCCCTCTCTCTTCCTCTCTGATATCAATAAAAATATATTTAAAAAATAAAAAAAAAGATGGCTGCACTTAGGAAAATAATGAAAGAAACAAGATCAAAGTATTAACTATGCTAAGTTATCTTTGAATATAAGGTTATGGATTATTTTTATTTTGTTAAAGTTTTCTTTCTCTTTTCCAAATATTAGGAAATGAGCATATGTTTTAAAATAAAAATAAAATTTTAGCTTTAACCGGTTTGGCTCAGTGGATAGTGTGTCAGCCTGCGGACTGAAAGGTCCCAGGTTCAATTCCGGTCAAGGGCATGTACCTTGGTTGCGGGCACATCCCCAGAAGGAGGTGTGCCGGAGGCAGCTGATCAATGTCTCTCTCTCATCGATGTTTCTAACTCTCTATCCTTCTCTCTCCCTCTCGGTAAAAAATCAGTAAAATATATTTTTTAAAAAATAAAAATAAAATTTTAATGTACCGATGAATCTTTTTAGATTGGCAAATTTGGAAACTGTAACTGGCTACTACCATGGAATTTCTAAGAGAAACACCAGTTTTGGAGATCACTAAAAAGAAAAAAATATCTGCTAGAAATTATATCTTGGCAATTTAAGACCTTATTTTGATGTTGACTTTTCCAACTCACTAAGTTTTCTATGACTTTATAGCAGTGACCTTAAAACCAAAGGGAGTGACTCAGTCAAATGTTATTCATTTTTAAAACATGAAAATTATGAACTGCATTAGAGTCCTAACAGAAGAAACTTAAGACAGCAGTAACAAGAGACAGTTTGCATGTCTAAGCAGGCTTACCCTAACTGAAATTAAAACAAAAAGTGTAATTTTCTTCCCATGTCTTCCTTTAATATTAAGTCCAGACCCTCAATTCAAAAGAAGACAGATCTAATATGTAACACACCACCCTGTACAAAAGTAACAGATTCCTCACAGAGATATTTGCATTAAAGAGAACAAATTCGACCGAGTGGAGAAAGAAAGGCAGAGCTAATCTCCCACATAGGCAACCACTATTTTTCCTCTGCTTACAGGGATATCATATCCTAGATGTCCAGGACAATGTATAGGGCTATAAAGTAGTTCAAAGACAATGAAAGGTAAAAACTTCATGGAATCAGATAACCCAGAAAGGTACACTGCATTCCAGACAAACTATTTTCCACTGAAGATACCCCGTAATCTTTTTCCAAGTCCATTTCAATTATTTTACAATTTTTCCCAACAGTCCCAAAGTGGAGGGAAAAGAAACTATCTTTTATTGAAATAAATATGATCAAAAGAAGCCTGTCATGAGATAATTAGAAAGAACGCTACAGAAAAACATACTCAATCCAGCAGGAACCTAGAAATTCATAATTAGAGAAAATATAATATTCTGTGCATTCACATCGGTCAGAGAGAGTGAAATCTAGGTCAAAGCACAGAAGTACAGAATTCTGAACTTCAGTCACCAATACTTCTACAAAACCTACACTTTAATCCAATGTAAGAGTCATGGTTGGCAAAAATGATCCTTGATAACCAGACAAGTGTTCGTGAGACTTAAAACAGGGTTATAGTTTAACTCCTCCTCTCACTCCTCAACCAAGGATATTTTTCCGTTGATTTTTAGAGAGAGTGGGAAAGGGAAAGAAAGAAATATTGATGTCAGAGAAACACATTGATTGGTTGCCTCTTGCACCCGCCTCTGGGGGAGGGGGGGAGGGGGGAGGAACCTGCAACTGAGGTACATGCCCTTGACCAGAATCAAACCTGGAACCTCTTAGTCCAAAGCCGGACGCTCTATTCACTGAACTAACCAGCCAGGGCAAAAAAGGAACAACTTTCTATTACTTCTACTGACTCTGGTGGTGATAAAATAACTGTATATACCTTTCTGAAGTCATAAGACTATACACTTTAAAATTGGTAAATTTTAGCCCTAGCAGGTTTGGCTCTGTGGATAGAGCGTCGGCCTGGGACTGAAGGGTGTTGGATTCCCGTCAAGAGCACATGCTCAGCTGGGGGCTCAATCCCCAGTAGGGGGCAGGCAGGAGGCAGCCAATCAATGATTCTCTCTCATTGATGTTTCTATCGCTCAATCCCTTTCCCTTCCTCTCTGAAATCAATAAAAATATATATTTTTTAATGGGTAAATTTTATGGTAGGTAAATTTTACCTAAATAAAGATTATTTCAAGTAAAATAAAAATTAAAGATATTTTGTGCAGTTTTATCTTATTTGAGTTAAAATGTCTGTATGTATTTCTGTGAATGTGTCTACCTATTGTTAGAAAGATGCACAGAAAAAGTTCCAGGGGAAACTTTTGAAAGTAGCAATCTCTGTATGAGTAAGGTTATGGGGTTTGGTTTTGTTTCTGCTTGTCTTATATTTTCTAGTTTTATACAATACACACATTCACCTTTCATGATTATAAAAGGGAGTTTTGTTAAAATAAAGATCAACTTTGATTTTAAAGTTTCTTATAGAAATTTCTGTGAGTTACCAATCTGTGGTTTTACAGGTTATACTTTTTTTTTCCAATTACAGTATAAATTTAATTGTAGTTGTGATTTTGGAGGTAAGGTGTTATTGATAAAATAGTATTTCCAGTGTAAATAATTATTTTCTTTGATTCATAGTGAACACACATTCAATGAACACAATACATGCATTCATATTTGGGTTAAATTGTGTCTCTGACTTCTTCCCATACAAAATAGCAATCTACCCTACCTACAAAAACACTATTAAGTCTAAGTGCAAACATCAACCTTTGTCTCTAACAGAACTTTTTTTTTTTAATAGCAACCATCCAAAAGAAACAATGGTAATCATCAATTTTTATTTTAAAAAATATTGCTTCTGCTTTTAGAAGAAATAAGTAGTGAAAGAACAGGATAACATATAAGAATTTTGGGATAAAAACAAACAGCTTTGAGTTATACTTATTATTTTTAATAATAATTACAAATACATTGTCAGACACCCTATAAGCAGCTTAGATTTAGCAAGCTGTTACAATGCAACAGTGTGGAGCGAGAGAGGTTTTCATTATTCCTCAAGCACTCAGAGTTTTCTTGGGTCACAGAAAAGTGATAGGGACAGGAAGAGGTTTGAGGTTTTTGTTTGTGGTTTTTATCTTTGTGGTTTTTGGGTTTTTTCAATGTATGTGTGGGTCTGTGGTTTTAGGTTTGTTTGTTTTAGGGAGGGTTTTGGTTATTTTTGTTTTGGTTTGGTGCTTTGTTTGCTTTTTTGTTTTTTGGCATGCTTTTAAATGCAGTTCATTAACACAGGAAGATAAACAACAAATATCAAATCCCTACCACATGTTCTGAATACCTACTGACATTCTCCTTTATTTGTCAATTATATGGGATAGGTATTACTATCCGATTACATATATGAGAACACTAAGATGTATAACAGTTAAAATTTGTCAAAACACATACAAACTAGTAAGAAGCAGAGCCAAACTTGGAGATGTGAATCTAAATCTGCATCCATACTTAAGCTTTCAAAGACCATTCCTCATTATTTTAGGGAAAGATTTGAAACAGAAAATTGGATCAGTCTATCATTAAATGATGAAGTTAAAAGATATATCCCAAACTAAATTGTATTTCTTTCATACACTAGCAATAAACTAGTGATGAACAATGAACAATACAAAATTAAATTTTTTAAAAGTCCATGTACAACAGCATCAAACAATAAAATACTTAGAAATAAGTTTTTGAAAGAAGTGCAAAAAAAAAAGTGCAAGAGTTGAGACTGGAAAACTACAAAACATCACTAAAAGAACAGATTAGGCCCTGGCTGGGTAGCTCAGTTGGTTGGAGCATCGTCCCTATGGACCAAGGTACAGGTTGAATTCCCAATAAGGGCACACAAAAGAGTCAACCAATGAATGCATGAATGGGTAGAACAATAAAAATTGATGTTTCTTTCTCTCTCAATCTCTCTCCCTCTCATCAATAATTTTTTTAAAGGACAGATTAAACAATGCCTATAAAATCCCAAGTGTTTTTTGGTAGAAACTGATAAACTGATCTTAAAACCCAGGGACTCAGAAAAGCCAAAACAGTCTTGAAAAAAGAACAAAATTACAGAACTTACACTTGATTTCAAAATCTTTTAAAAAGCTACTGTAATCAAACATTATAGAGCTGGCATGAGAATGAATAACAGAATAGAATGGAGAGTCCAGAAATAAACATAACATATAGACAGTTGATTTTCAATAAGGGTGCAAAGACCATTCAGTGAGATCGTTTTGGGGGTGTTTTTTTTTCCAATATATATTGCTGGGACAACTGGATTACCATATGCAAAAGAATGTATCTGGACCACTACCTTACACAAAAATTAACTCAAAGTGGATCGACAACCTAAGCATAAGGGCTAAGAACTTAGAATTGTTAGAAGAAAGCATAGGGGTAAACCTTCATGATCTTGGATTTGACAATGGATTCCAAGATATGACACCAAAAGCATAAGGAACAAAAGAAAAAATAGATAAATGGACTTCATGGCAAAACTTCTTTTGCAACAAAGAACATTATCAAAAAAGTAAAAAGACAACCTACAAAATGGGAGAAAACATTTGCGAATCATATATCTGATTAGGACTTAGTATCCAGAATATTTTAAAAATTTCTACAACTCAATAACAAAAAAGACAAGTAACTCAATTAAAAAAAATGGACTCCCGCCCTGACCAGTTTGGCTCAGCAGATAGAGCATCAGCCTGCGGACTGAAGGGTCCTGAGTTTGATTCCAGTCAAGGTCACGTGCCTGGGTTGCAGGCTTGATCCCCAATAGGGGGTGTGCAGGAGGCAGCCAATCAGTGATTCTCATCATTGATGTTTCTATCTTTCTCTCCCTCTCTGAAATCAATTAAAAAATATATGGGTGGGGTTTTTTTTTAAATGGACTCCCCTCCCTGCCTCCCACCTCCCTAGCCGGTTTGGCTCAGTGGATAGAGTGTTGGCCTCAGAGCAAAGGGTCCTGGGTTTGATTCTGGTCAAGGGCACGAACCTCGGTTGCAGGCTCCTCTCCAGGGTGCAGGAGGCAACCAATTAATGTCTCTCTCTCTCTCACATCGATGTTTCTCTCTGTCTTTCCCCTCTCTCTTCCACTCTCTCTAAAAATTAATGGAAAAATATCCTCAGGTGAGGGTTTAAAAAAAAAAAAAGAGACTCCCAGCCCAAAGAAATGGACAGGGATTTGAATAGACATTTCTCCAAAGAAATACATAAGTGGCCAATAAGCACAAAAAATTATGCTTAGCATCATTAGTCATCAGGGAAATGCAAATCAAAGTTGCAATGAGATGCCATTTTACACCTACTAGGCTAGCTAAAGTTAAAAAGACAGAAAATAGCAAGTATTGGCAAGAACGTAGAGTAACTGAAACCCTCACACATTGCTAGTGGGAATGTAAAATGATGCAGTGCCTTAAAAAAAAAAAAAAAGTTTGTCAGCTCCTCAAATGGTTAAAATAGAGTTATCATGGGACCCACCAATTGGGATATACCCAAGAGAAGTTAAAACATATGTCCACACTAAAACTTATACATAAATGTTTATAGCAGCATTATTCATATAGGCCCTCTGTATCCAGGGGTTCCATATCCGGGATTGAAAATGTTCAGATAAAAAAGTTACATTGTTGCTAATGTGTACCATGTAGTTACACATCTAGGATGCTTGCCTCTGAACATATACAGACTTTATTTTTCTTGTCATTATTTCCTAAACAACACAGTGTAACAATTGTTTATGTAGCATTTACATTGTGTTAGGCATTATAAGTAATCTAGAGATGATTTAATGTATTCAGGAGGATGTGCATAGGTTATATGCAAATATTATACCATTTTATATAAGGGACTTGAGCATGTGGGGGTGGTTCTGGAACCAATCTCCCACAGATACCAAAAGGCAAGTATAACCAAAAAGTAGAAAAAATCCACATGTCTATCAACAGATGAATAGATAGATAAAATGCGGTATATCCTTTTAACAAAATATTATTCGGCAATAAAAAGGAAGAGTGCTGATACATGTTACACAGCCTCAAAAAAAACACTGTGCTAAGTAAAAGAAGCCCGTCACAAAATAAACATAAGTTACATTATGTAAAATGTCCACAATAGTTAAATTCAGAGACAGAAAGTAGGGTAGTTATTGCCAGAGGCTGAGAGAAAGGCAAGGAATGTTAATGGGTACAGGATTTCTTTGTGGGGTGATGAAAATGCTCTCGAAGTAGATAACGGTGATGGTGGACACACAGTGAGTATACCATAAACCAGGATTGTACAATAAGAGATAATCTTAGTGTAAGTGAATTACATCTCAAGAAAGCTAGGTTTATTTAAAGATACTTTTTTTTAATGTCAGTCATGGGGATGTGATGCACAGCATGATAAGTATACTTAATAGTACTGTATTGCCGAAACCGGTTTGGCTCAGTGGATAGAGCGTCGGCCTGCAGACTAAAAGGTCCCAGGTTCGATTCCGGTCAAGGGCATGTACCTGGGTTGCGGGCACATCCCCAGTGGGAGATGTGCAGGAGGCAGCTGATCGATGTTTCTCTCTCATCGATGTTTCTAACTCTCTGTCTCTCTCCCTTCCTCTCTGTAAAAAATCAATAAAATATATTAAAAAAAAAAAATAGTACTGTATTATATGTAAGGTAGTTAAGAATATATCTTAAAAGTTCTCAACACAGGAAAAAAATTTGTAACTATGTGTGGTGACGTTTACTAGACTTACTGTGGTGATCTTTTTGTAATATATGCAAATATCAAATTATTATGTTGTACACCTGAAACTAATGTTATCTTCAATTATATCTCAATTTGAAAAATAACATCCAAAGAAACTACAAAAATGCCACACTGAGGCAATAAAGCACCTAATTTTCAATACTATTCAGATACAATCTCAACTACCAAAGTCTTGTCATCCTATACATTCATATTTTGTCAGTGAACAAAAAAAGAAACTAATAAAATGAAATCAACTACTGAAATTTCTAAAAACATGAAAAAAAAAAAACAGCCCCTGAACTATCAAATCACTTTCACTCAAACAATCCTATTTTAGCATTGACTCTGAACTAAACATAAGTCTCAATTTCAAAATGTCACACACAGAGGACAAATACTCAGAGGTTTGAGCAAATTTCCAACTGTTCTGAATAAACAGCAATTCAGATTTGCTTTGATGACCATGTAAATATTTACCTGCCTCAAAGAAAACAAAATCCTTATAAACCTAGTGTTCCCAAATGATGGAAAGAACCATGCTTTTTTTAAAAAAAAAAATTCAGAATTTTGTTTCAAAATTAGTGTTAACCTAGCTAGGGTATTCATAGTTGATGGCTTATACTAAGCAATGTATATACCCTGCTTTGCCTACAACCTATACTAAAAACAAGGCATTATAAACAGTCACAAAAGTTACGTTTGTAACTTTGTCTCAAAATGTCTCGAGAACTATTTTGGAAACTCCCTGAGTCCTTTAGTCTTGCTACAAATATTTACTGACCATCCACCGTGTGCCAGGCACTGCACCGGGTACCAGGATGCCACGGTGACCCATCAACAGAACGGGTCTCTCTGGCCACAGGAAGGCAGCGCTTGTCAAATGAGCCTGATGATGACAATTTGGGAGCTTGTTTAAAAGTCAAAATCTGCCCGGGCTGGTTCGGCTCAGTGGATGGCGTGTTGGCCTGTGGACTGCAGGGACCCGGGTTCGATTCCGGTCAGGGGCACATGCTTGGGTTGGGGGCTTGATCCCCGGTACGGGTTTTGCAGGAGGCAGCCGATCCATGATTCTCATCATTGATGTTTCTCTCTCTCTCTCTCCCCCTCTCTCTTCCTCTCTGAAATCAATATATTTTTTAAAAAAGTCAAAATCTGCTCATATGCTTTGGAGAGTCCGCGGGCCCGGGGTGAGTCGCGACGCCCGTATTTTCATCAGGAGCCCCTATCTCCCCCCGCCCCCGCGGTTCTGAGAACCCAAGGCTCAGGACCATCCCACCCCATCCAGCACGATGCCACACCTCCAAAGTCCATTTCGCTCAGCATCCCTCACCCGAACCGACATCCCAAACACACCACGAATCGGGGGTGGAAGGGAAGCATCCCCGGGTCACTTTGTACTGAACCACCGACAGACTTGCTTCCTTCCTGGGACGGACAGCTCACTCCCGGAGCTCCCACCCGGGCCGGGCTGCACCTGAGCCTCCCGCGGCTGCGCGGACACCTGTCTCCCAGCGGCTGCCGTCCACCTCTCCGGCGGGCTTAGTCTAAGGGCCCGCCGCCCCGCAAGAACGGAGGAAAGGCGGAGACGCCGCGCGCATTAGGCGCCGACTGTATACCGCGCCCCCAAGCCCGGCGCGCGCGCACCTCCTCCCGCGAAAACGGAGGCGGACAGGCGACAGGCCAGTCCCCGCCGCCCGCGGGTGCAAGGCGGGGCTCGAACCCGTCCGGCGGGCCGGGTTCCGCCTCGCGGGCGCTCGTCCGCCGCCGAGGCCCGGCCGGGCTCCCACCGACGGAGTTTCACAAAGAAAGTCTCCCGGCCCGCGCCCCTCACGCACTCACCGGCGCCGGCGGCGACTCCGGCTCCCGCCGCCTCCGGCTCCGCGCCGGAGTCGGCCCCGGGGTTGGCTCGAGCGCCGGCGGCGGCGACTGCTCCATCCCCACGGGGCCCGGGCCGCGTCCGCCTCGAGCTAACGGTCCCGCCAGCTAGGAGCGCGCGCCGGCTCCGCGCGCCATGTTCCCGCCGTGCCGCGCGCCGCCGCGGCAACCCCCCACCGCCCCTCGCCGCGCACGCGCACGCGCGCCGCCGCGAAGCCCACCGCCGCCGCGCACGCGCGCACGCGCCGCGCCCCCTCCTCGCGGGCCCCGCCTCGCGCCCTCGGAGCCGGCCGCTGTTCCCGGCGTCGCGCCCACCCCCTCCGCACCCGTCCGGCCCCGCAGGAGCGTTCGCCGTTCTGGGTTCAGCGCCGCCGCCTGCCGCGCAGCCGACCACCCCAGGCCGGATTCCTAGGCTCCTTCCCGGCGCGGCTCCTTCTGCTTCACCCGTTGCACAGGGCGTGGGGCGAGGCTCTGGACCAGGAGGGACTTACCCCCTCGAAGTGCCGGGCGAAGGATGCCTCTAGGATGACATCCCGGCGTGGAAGTGGACAAGCACGTGCGCGAGCAAGCCCTGGATTCTGGGAGAGCCAGGCTCCATGAGACCCCGAGTTACAGTCCCGCATCTCCACTAACCCTTTGCGTGATGAAGGTCGGGTATCCGGGTCTGTTTCTCCTTAATAAGGTCCGACAACGAAGGCATGATGGGAAGACGCAAGCAATCATTGAGATAAAGTGTCAACACCGGGCCTAAGAAGGACCAAGTGGTAATCAGACGTCAAGACCTCTCATGGAGGTTTGTTTACTGGGTAAAAACCACGGGCTTTTGAGAGGGGAAATCTCGCTTCAAGTATTGCCTCCACCTGTTACAGCCTGGGGAACCTGTCTTTCTCCCATCTCAGCTCCGCTTCCCTCTGATGGCTTCTTTCTCAGACAGGTCTCTTCCCATGGTATCCCCTGCAGCTTCTACCTCGTATCTGACCAGGAAAGCAGGAGTTGACCCCCAAAAGTTCCCTCCAAAGTCTCGGGGTTGATTGAGACTCTTGACGTTGGTACTCTCGTTGCACCCATTTTGAAGTAACTTGCCTAAAGCCAAAGTCAGAAAAGGCAGAAAGCTCAGATTAGCACAATATTGCTCTTCCCGCCAGTGTTGTCATGCATTTGATTCATTTCCATTTGCTCAGTTTTCCAAGTCCTGTGATCACCTCTAGCTGGGTGGCCAGTGGGAAGAGCTCTACCAGGGAAGGACTCTAGTACCTTCTGCTTCCATAGTGGGGGTCAGGCAGGCAGACACGTAGCTTTACCATCTCCCTCGCCCCCTCCCACCCCCCATGATTCCATGATTCCATGATTCCATGGGGTAGGGCAGTGGTTCTCAACCTTCTGGCCCTTTAAATACAGTTCCTCATCTTGTGACCCAACCATAAAATTATTTTCGTTGCTACTTCATAACTGTCATGTTGCTAGTGTTATGAATCATAATGTAAATATCTGATATGCAGGATGGTCTTAGGCGACCTCTGTGAAAGGGTCGTTCGACCACCAAAGGGGTCGCAACCCACAGGTTGAGAACCGCTGGGGTAGGTGACCCCCCAAAAAAAGTAAGAGTTGGACAAGTCGCCTTACATAGGGCCTCTTTGGTCATTACTGGGTCAACAGGACACACTCACGTGCCTTATCTGCATTTCTAGACAGAAAAGAATGAACTGCTTATGCCTTAGTCTTCCCTATCCCCTTTACTGTGCGTGTCTGCTGCAGAAATGTTAACGCTAGGTTACAGGACCCTGCTGGGTATTACACATGATAGAGTTGATGTGCCATGTCCCCTTCCTAAAATCAGGAAAATACTGAATTTTTACAAATTATCTGGCCCCAAGGTTTCAGGGACTGTGCCCTCTATTTTTATTTTTTGTTAATCCCCACGTGAGGCTGTTTTTCCCTTTGCTTTCCTGAGAGTGGGAGGGAGGGGGGAAAGGAGGGGAAGATAGAGAAACACTGATGTGAGAGAGACACATCAACTGGTTGCCTCTGACGCTTAAACACTGAACACACCAACCAGGGCCTTTTTTTATTATTATTATTATTGTGGTAAAATACACATAACATTTAACATCTTAACCATTTTTTAAGTATACAGCTGAGTGGGATGAAGTATTCACATTGTTGTACAACCATCACCACCGTCCATCTCCAGAACTCTTTTCATCTTGCAAAATAGAAACTCCCTAATCCATGAAACAATAACTCCCCCCTCCTCACTGCCCTTCCCCCAGCTCCTGGCAGCCACTATTCTAATTTCTGTCTCTGTGAGTTTGCCTACTCTAGGAACCTCACCTAAGTGGAATCATATACTATTTGGCTTATTTCCCTGAGCATAACTGTGGACCTGCATCTTTATGAGGGTGAGGATGAGAATTTAAAATAGGCCCGTGGAAAAAAATAAAATAGGCCCGTGGTATTTGCACCAAGCTACCTACTTACTGTCTCAGGAGGACTGTGGCAGCCAGTCACTCCCTACACACTCCACCCCGACCTCGCAATGCCCCTTTCCCTGCAACTTTCTAAAGAGCCTTTGCATGCATCTCACCGTGGCTGAGACCAAGGACAATTCCTGAGACACCGGGCTGGTGACAGCCAGGGTGGAGTTCCCGATAAAAAGCACATGATTTCAAGTCCACACACAAAAAGGCCTGCACCTAAAGAGCTGACATCAAGCCGAAGCACACAGCCCAGGCTCCATTAGGTTTTTAATTGTGTACTGATGACTCTGGAAAAGCAGCTGTTCCCATAATTAAAACACAAAATCTAAAAAATACATATATACATATGCATAAAGAAAAGAGCAGCAGGGTTCAAGACGGTACATGTCTTTCACATTCAACCAGTGTTCAGGACACAGCGGCACAGACAGCCAGGCGCTTTGCGGTGCCAGCATCCTCCGGCTCCCCTTCGAGGAGCCGCTTTCGACTCGTAGAAGGCTGGGGGGGGGGGGGGGGGAGGAAAAGGGAGAAATGTTCAAAGAAGACCACTGGCTTTTTCAAGATGATCAAAGTTTCCCAATATGCTCCCAGTAAATCTGGAGGCTTTCATGTGAAACTTCTAGTACCAACCATTACTGGTTTTCCTCACTGACATCTGAATCCCCATCACATTGCACCAGACTCAGGCATGCTCATCAAAATGACATTTCTCTCCCTGTGACTTTCCGACCATGCAATGATTTTTATATATTTTTTTTTAAAATAAATATATTTTTATTGATTTCAGAGAGGAAGGGAGAGGGGGAGATAGAAACATCAATGATGAGAAGGAATCATCAATCGGCTGCTCCTGCACGCCCCCTACTGGGGTGGAGCCCACAGCCCCGGCACGTGCCCTGACCAGGAATCAAACTGTGGCCTCCTGGTACATGGGTGGACGCTCAACCACTGAGCCTCATTGGGTGGGCTCAAGGATATATACTGACAGTAAGCAGCATTCACAGCCTCCTCTTGGGTCATCTTTTCCTAAATCATGAAATTCAGAGAGATGACGATACCTTTCACTGGGAGCCCCAAGTCGTGCTCTTTTGTGGAAAGACACGTCTTTTCTCGTGTCTTTGTTTTCCAGTTTATAAAACTGCAAGGGGAGAGTGGGAAGAGCAGTGCTATCCGTCACCAAAAGAAGGTGGGACAGGAATGAACAGATATTAACTTGTACTTAACAAAGAACAATGGAGGAATAAAATTATAACCAATAAAACACCAGTCACTCACCCACATTTTAAAATTTTCAACAAATTTCTATTGGAGCCTCCAACAGAGTCTTTTAATCTTGCCTTGCAGGAGAATTCTTGAATGACAATCCCTAGCTGTGCTTCTCTAATGCATTAAGCATACTGTTCATTATGAAATCTTCTAAGGGTGCTAGAGCAGATCAAGCTGAAACAAAGTATCTCCTACATCATTCCTGTGTGTGTGTGTGTGTGTGTGTGTGTGTGTGTGTGTAGCAGTTTTTATTAGACTATTCAAACTCCTCATCCTTGCTCACTGGCTCTTTAAACTTAGCCCGCATTTAACGACCATCATCTGGAATACCTGGGCTGGGAGCTGGGGTAGAGCCGTTGACTTATTTTCTTCAAAAAGCAAATTTTGAAATGTTCTCTTCATGTCCTCATCCTGTAAAGAAATGAAAAACAGAAGTAGCCTACGTTTGAGGGAACGCTCCGAGAGGATGGGGCCAGGAAGCCCCCGGAAACAGAGAAGTGGGCACAGACGTCGGGTCTATCAGGTGCGTGGCTAGCCCTGGCTGAAGCTCTGGGAGGGAGAGGACCATGTGCCTCCCCCGAGTAGTCTAATCAGCAGGCAGCGCTCAATCAACACTGGCTGAATCAAAACCACATGCTTCAGAGCTCTTGGCGGGTCAGAGAGAACCACAGACCTAAGCAGTCAAAAGACTTTCAGAACCAGCATCCCAGATCCTGACTGAGATGGCAATCAGCAGGCCAGAGGCTGGGGCTGACTGACTCCATGCAGCTGCTAAGTCTTTCCGGGAGGTCGCCCCCCCTCTCCCTGCCAACATGCGGCCAGTTCCTGGGGCCACCCTAACAAACCCACCCAGCACCCTGGGGAAATTCACCCAGCAAGTGCTGTACAACTCGCCAGAAGGACTTCAAGCCACGGTATCCAGGGCTTGGGTCTAATGGGAAAGGAAAACCCTAGCTGGTGTGGCTCAGTGGATAGAGGGTCAACCTATGAACCAGGAGGTCACGGTTCGATTCCCGGTCAGGGCACATGCCCGGGTTGCGGGCTCAGTCCCCAGTGTGAGGCATGCGGGAGGCAGCTGATCAATGATTCTCTCTCATCACTGATGTTTCTATCTCTCTCCCCCCCTACCTTCCTCTCTGAAATCAATAATATATATATATAATTTTTTTTTTAAGTAAATGCATGAAGAAATGAAACCACACTAGAATGTTCCTCAGATGGCAGCTCTTCAGTGCAGCCAAACAGAGCTGACCTCAAGCCTACTTAGGCCTGTTATTTAAAACAAGTCATCAATTAGCAATAATATGTAAAAGACCTCTTTACCTTAACATATCACAGGCAGTAATGTGTATCCGTAAATGCCCTTTCTTTGAAATGTCCACATCTATTCAAAAATACTAACTGCAATGTGCCT